CTCCAAAGGCACCAGGAATCTGATAACCATGAGACTTCTGTCATTCTGCCAGTTTTGGAAGGAATTAGTTAACAAAATTAGAAGTTAGGAGAGAATAAGAAGGAGCTTCAAGGACAGATACCTCCATATTGTGTGCTCTCTCTCCCCAAAGGAAAAAAAGAAAAGGATAACCCCCTTTCTGTGCTGTTTTGAACGTAACTTTGCTCAGGCTTAGCTTCAGGCCTGCTGTAACAGAAAGCATTTGGACCATGTGTACTTAAATAACAGCATTTATATCAGGGGACAGGTAAAAGAGTGAGTCTGTATTACATCAGTACCAGGCTGAGGACCATTATAAAAGCAAAACTTTCTCAAGCGCAGAAATGGAAGTGAACAGGTCATACCAGTAATGTGGGCGTAGTTGGAAAATTGCTCTCTCACCACTATGGAGCAATCTTCGAGCATCACAACTTCTCTAAATTACAACACTAGAAGTTCTGCAAGGACAGCGGTTCTGCAAACTGAATTTGGCTGTGGCGGTGCTACCACCAACACTGCTGTGTTCAAAGTCCACCAGCATGGGTCCTGTGCCCTTCCCAGCCCCCCCTGCCCAGCACCAGCCCCAGCCCCACTGCAGCAGCTCTCAAAGAAGTACTGAATGAATTTCTCCAAACCTCATGGCACGTGTACTCACTGAAGCCAGTGAACCTACTCAGATCTTTAGAAGTTAAACACCAGATTGGAAACGAGCCCAAACTTCCATATTTCTTATGAGGAACTTAAGAACAAATGCAGTAATTAAAAAATTAATTCCAAAAGTTAATTTTTATTAGAAAAAACTATGGGTGACTTTCTTACTTTAGTGTGGTACCCTTTAAAGCATTCCTAAGGTTTCAAGCACAACGTTGAATATAGTACAAGAAACTGAACTAAAAAAATATATATATTCTGAATAAATAGTAATGATGACTGTGTTACATGGAAACACTTTTTTTTTTTTAAATAAAGGATCAAATACCAAAAGTATTCCAAAGTGCAGGATTATAGCAATGAGATATAAGCGTTTTTTTAATTTCCAATTTTCAGCTAAAAGAAGCCTCATTATTACATACTGAATTGTTAATCCAATTACTAGCAAAGTTACTTAAGCCACTACTTCAGCTGTATGTCTAATAATTGCAGAGAAGTGGGTGAGAAGGAAGAATAATATTCACAAGCATGTGATACATTTCAAGACTACATTTACAAACATAAATACACTACATGTTTTATGGTCTGTGTCAAGCCTCACTTAGGTCACCAGGATCTTACAAGTCCTGCTGCAAAGCTTAATTTATGGCTATTTAAAGAAAATAGACAGATAAACCAAACTGGGACAAACAAAAATAAATTTTTATTAATACAGACTGAGCTAAACTGATTCCTCATGTCTACTGGAAAGATCCGTAGTCGTGGAACGTTGTGTTAACGTTACCTGATATGAAAGATAACAACAGTTTCACAACACTGAAGTTCTTCCCCACATCACCTTACCCCTTTTTACACTAAATACCCATTCAGGAACAGTGATGCTACAATTAATCCCTGCAGCAACCCTACACCTCGGTGTAGGTTGAGTTATGTAGTCACCTCTACTCTTATGGTAGAGTTGGTCCAGGGTTTAGAAGGTACTAAATACAGCTTTTTTGTGATGACTGAACAATCAAACAGTAACAAAAACAAACAAACAAATATAATTTAGAAGTCTTCCATTTTTGTGATTTGCAGAATTTCTTATCAAGGCAGATGGACAAACATGATTTCTCCAGCTGTCAGCAGACTGGTAATGCACTGATACAATACACATCAACTATTCCACCTCATTCTGTCTTCAAATTTCTGCACAGAACAATCCAGTCAGTATTGATTCTGGATCCCAAAAGAAGAAACTCTCGTTATACCAAACAGCATTCATAGCGTGTAACTCAGAAACAATACTGAAAGGAAGTGCTTTGAAACTCTCCACATCTTAACAAGAGACTTGACTAAATGTACAAGCCCCAGGAACCCCTCTGTGCAATGTTCTACCAGTACAGGTTCCTCAGTGAGAGGAAAGTCATCCTCCTTGCTAATGATCAACAACCTAGGAGCAGCCTGAGGCTACTGCTGCAGGCATGGGCTATGGAATCTAGAAATAACTGAAGTCTGTTTAAAGACTGGTTACGATTTTAAAAACTTTGTTGATTAGAGGATCATATTTTCCAAAAATTTCAAATTAATTACTGGTAAAGGTCTGCAGGTGTTCTGCATCGCAGCATTCCAGCGTGCTCCCATCTGGACACATCGCCACTGGCTCTTTCCCCCCCATTCATTCTCTAGCTGAACAAATGTTTTGTACATGCCAGAAAGCCTCAATAGTTGTGGTTTCACATTGATTTGTAATGTGAACAAAAATTCAAAAGTGGGCTCTGAAAACGTGCTGGGTTTTGGTTGGCTCATGACAGAAAATGGAACTTTCTCCCCTCATTTTACCAAAAGGCAGCGATGCACCAAAGAAAATACGTTTCAGCCTTTACAAAACTCCTGGAAAAAGATGAACTATATAGCGTATCTCATTTCTCTGCTTGTGATGCCCTATGAGGAATGAACAAAGCTGGGGATATTTAAGTGTTTAACACATTACTCTTCCCTCAGAAATCCACACTGTTATTATGTGATCAGTGATTTGTGGAAAGATATGTATCAGCAAATTCTGTAGTAATTCTGTAATTTGAGATTCAGCTTCTATATAGAAAATGTGCTATTTTGCTAACTGCACATGAACTTTAATATGTTCAACTCCAAAGTTCAGTAATAGGTTTAAAAGGGTAATGGGGAAAAAAAAAAAAAAAAAAAGAAACAAACAAACTAAACAAAACACATGCAAAAAAACCCAACAAGCTAACCTTTGTTCTCTCAGCAATATACCTTTGGTCACAAAATACGATGATTATAGCCCCTCACAGGCAATAAGGAGGAGCAGTATGTTTGTGTATGTTCTAGTTTTCATTAGAACTTCATAGATACAGCATTTTTCTATTTCCTAGTGTCATCTTCCCTACTAGCAGTAGGGAACTCAAAGTCTTGCTTAGCTTTCTCAAACAAGGAAAATTACTTCACTTCTGCCTTTCATTCTGTTTATCACTACATCTTCCAAATATAACAAACTCCTTTGTCAATCATGACACAAATCCCAGGCAGATTTTTCAAGGGCATTTTATTCAAATTACAGTTCACACTCTGCTCACAGAAACAGAGACAGGAGATACAAAATGGAAGACAAGTAAAGCTGCATCCTCGCAGAGCCAGGCTCAGCACACACAAGGATGGCAGAGACACACAGGCGCTCTCCTCCCCTGCACAGAGGGGCAAGTGTGCCAGGTCAGTCAGTCAGGGACAACCTCTGCACCTTAGGTCTTTTTAGGTTGGTTGGTCTGTTCTAAGTACCTCTTGCCATAGTGATCCTTTGCTTGCACCAGCTGTACACTTTCTGGGCACCTAACATGAAAAAAAAACCCAAAACACCAGCTGAGTGGTAAACGCCTTTGCCCCTTGTATATGACTGCCACCAGAGACAATGCAGATCAGAATCAAGTCAAAACAACCTCTCCTGACCATTTACCATCAAAAGATGGCAGATCCACAGTAGTCAGCCCCAGCATGCTGGCTGTCCATATTACAGATACCCCAAACCCTGCTCCTCCCAGTATCCATCCCAGTCTTAAAGGAAGGTAATAGTTCAAAGTGCATGTTGGCCAGGTCCATGCACTGCCAACAGTGCATGCAACTGCAGAGACACCCCGAAACTCCATATTGCCAACAGAGAGAGACACATGCCTCACCAGAACGTTCTGATGCAGTCCTTGGAGTTGTGGGTGCTGCCTACAGATCACATTGGTGTCTACAGCATGCAAGCTGAATCCAGCTTTCTTAATTAGGCTTTCTTAAAATCCTATTATATGATTAAATACCTGAACCTCCAAGTTATTTCTACAAAAACACAGAATGTATTTGCTGTAATTAATAACCACAGGGATTTTTATTTAAATTCAGTAACTGAAGGAAATACACAGTTTTTCTCTGTTCTGATTCATGAGCAATCACAGAACGCACATATTCATCAAAAGGGCAAGGGGATGAGTAACATTTGAGTTTTTAAAATACCACGCATTACAGAAAAGGTGCCATCCTTGTTGTTTTCAAAGTTGTGAAAGGATTAAACAAAAATAAAAGCAAAAAAACCTACACAACTAAAAGTCTCATGTGTATCTCAGATGCAAATATGGAATGCTGACAGAGATTTATGATTTAATCCTAAGATTAAATGGGTTAAGAGCCCATTTGCCCATTTTCACTGGGAAGGACGGGAAATCATCATTTCTATTCTCTCTGGCATCCTCCTCAGCATGTACAATGCTCCATTTTATACAATCACTCCAAAAAATCTCTGTAAGGTTCATTTACATAGAAGAAGTCAGGATAGATATGTCTATTCACAGTAACTACCTGTACAATTAATTTTCTTGCCAGATGTTCTTCTTTAAGAAGTCTAAAATTTTAATCTCCCTTAAGCAGCTGAAACATAAAACCGATGTATTCATCCATTCCAAAAAGACTATCTCCACTTGCAGTCAAATTAATGATAACACAACAACATCAGTGGGGCCAGATCAGAAACTGCTACTCTGAGACATGTTAAACAAGCAGGGCAGTCAGGCACTGAAAAATGCTATCAAACTATTTTAAATAGATTTTTCTCAGGGTGACATCAGAAAAACAAGCAAGGCCTGACAAGCCACCCTCATCGCTCCTTGGAAGTTAACTTAAAATTGAAGCGTTTCAAATTCTTCAGCTGCTACTAGGAGCAAAATCAAACACATGCTGCTATGACAGCAGCACTAAGAAACAACTGTGAACGAACAGCACAGCAAGGAACAACTTGGTTTTATTATTGTGCAGAGATATGTTGAATGAATTCTTCTACGCACACAGAATTCTGCAACTGATTTACTGTATTTTTTACTAGAAAATTGTTTTGTTCTTTCAACTAACTATCAGCAAAAAAAAGTCTTTATAGGAGTTTTTTTTTAATGGGAGATATACCTCACAAAATTCCAGGGCCTCTTCATA